TTCATTTGGGTTTGCATCCTTTATCTTAAAACCATAGCACAAGTGTTCCCCTTTTTTGAGCCGACTGACGATTATTTACTTGATTTAACACAGAGATTATTCATCCCGGAGCTACTTGGGATGAAATAAACACGGCCAAATTGCACGACATTTTAGACGGCCGCGCTAGGGGCCCGACTATGATGAAGCTGGTAAAAGGCTGTGAAAGTCGCCTCCCCTGCCAAACCCGCGGTGCGAGGCCAAGCTCCGGCTAATAAGTGTGAGCAAGTGCAGTCGTAGCTTCAGCCAGCGGCCCCACAACACCTATTATTACCAATCCTATCAGACAACCATGCGTTTCCATTTACAGGCTACTGTTTAAGCTGTAGGGAGGTGGTTCATTGTGAGCGTGATGACACCTCTCTCCTTGTGTCTGTCAGGGCTGACACTCTTTAATAGTCTTGTGGAGGTCATCCTCATGTCATGTGCGGATGGGAGATGTAGGGGGGAGAGACACAACACATGAAGACAATTGGTGCTATTTTGTGCCTGTTATTGTCGGTGTAGTGTGAAAAATAGGATTGCTGTGCACGGGATTGTACTGCGACGGCAGGTCCAGAAGTTTAGTGAATGCTTAGGGGAGTGACTAAGATGATGTGTGCTGAACCAAGGATAGGAAAAAAAAAAAAACGTTGTGTGTTTGTGTGTGCGTGTGTGCGGATTCTGTAGTTTACACCGCAGCAAAGCATCTCATTGTTCTTTTAAACTCATCCAGTCATGTGTAGAAGGGCCCGGCTGGTGGTATGTGTGTTGATGTGGCTCTGGCCTGACCCAAGTGGATATAATGGTGCAGTAGAAAATGTCCTGTCAGTTGATGGAGGAGCTGCCTGTAGCAGCGGGAAGGAGTGTGGCGACAGGGGCCATGTGCGCTAACCTCTCCCCCTGTCACTTTTTTCTGTCTCGTTCCATCCCCCTCTCCTTTCATTTCCACCTTTTTTTTCTCTTTCACGTTGCCCTCAGATACACCCCCCCCCACCCACTCACCCCCTTTTCCTCAGACTGCGCTCCCTCCTCCCACAACACCCTGTGACAAATTACTCCTGGCGGTTGATTTGTTGGTTGTCAAAAGTGCTCCGTGCGCTGGCATGAAGGTGGGGTGAGCAGGAGAAGAATCTTCCTCCTGTTCCTGCCTGTCGTCATCAGCGTTCCCTCAGCCCCTTCGTCCGCACATCCCCCCCCCTTCCCAGCCCCCCTCCCCACCTAAAAAATGTGCACTGCGCTCTCACCACTACAGCTCAGTTTGCAGATGCCTCGGTGGAAAATGACGTGCGGTCTCTTAAGGTCTCATTAGAATAGCTGTTGTCCTTGTTTAATCAGCTCACTCAACGTTCACTTCACAATCCTTCTTTCGACAAAGCCGTCCCGATATATTGTCGCGCGTGAGCGCAACAGAGGAGAGGCTTTGTTTATCGCCACGGGTGGGGGGGGAGGATGAGCAGAAAGGGGAAATATTTGTCAAAGAACTGCCAATGAAGTTATGACATACATCACTACAGTTAGTGTGTGTGGATGGGGGGGGGGGGGGAGAGGAGAGGGCAATGCAAAGATCCGATGGAAAATCCTCAGATGAACACCCTCAGATGTTAATGAGTATAAAATAGACAAAACCAGGCAGAAATTTAGTCGGAGGACGTACGATTGTGACCATATATGTGTGGGCGTGCTGCACCCCTCAGTGGCTCAAACAAACACTTTTTCTGTGAAGTATTTTTGTTTTCATTTCTTCAATCAACTTTTACAAAAATACAGGAACACCGTTTGATATGAAATGGGATAAAGCAATGCTACTACATCTACTAGAACTACTACTACTACTACTATTTCTATTACTACTAATAATAAAAATAATAAGAACAATAACACAAGTGCAGTAACCATTTGCATTGTATCGTCTCATGTCTTCCTTACCGCCTCGTTGGTTGCGTGGCACCAACCGGAAATGATGTGCATGAACGAAAATCGAATGCAAGTTTATTCTAGTTTGAATGATGAAAAAAAAAAAAAAACTGCGTTCGGAATTTTGAGTGTAAAATGATTTTGGTAATTATATCGATTAAATGTATTCAGTGTGGCCGGCAAGACACACATACAAACACGCACGTGTTTTTATATATATATATACACACACACAGAGAGAGAGAGAGAGAGAGAGAGAGAGAGAGAGAGAGAGATGGATGGATGGATCCGTAAATTAATATGATGTATTTTGAGGGTTACCCAGAGAAGAAATTGCCCTAATTATTAAATAAAGACTCGCATATTCATAGAGTGCTTTATTTACACCATACGGTACCCTAAATGTTTTACAAAATCCGACATTCAATTATTTAAAAACTGAGATTCAAGATAAATAAAAGTTTTCAGAAATCCATCTGTGGACTTTTTTCTTTGCAAATATATGTTATTACGTGAAAGAACAGTGGCTATTAATATGAAACGGCCAATCTATGTACACATTTGTTTTATTGGCTACTTTTAGCTTTTGTGGGTTTTAATCAGTTGGGTGTTTTTTGTTAAAGTCAGGAAATTACGTTACGTATCGATTCAAAAACTGTCATGATGGTCATGCCACAACACCATCATGTTTTTACAGCTTTTTTAATAAATGTCACAAGGCATGCCAGGAAGTCAAGCCACCTGCTGCTTTGTGCTACACTACGGAATGAATGCGAGTCGACTTTGTTCATCAACGGGACTTCACGTGGCAGTATTAACCATATTTTGTGTCGCGTTATACAATCGGAGGAGGAAGCATTTCCCAGAATGCTTTGCCTTGAGTTACAATTATCACATTTCACTGTGTGATCGTACCTCTTTAATGTGTCATTTTGTACAGGCACGGTGAAATTGTTCAAGTGGTGTCAGTTCGCGTTGTTCTGCTTTTGCTGCTGGTGAATCTGGCACCTTGACTTAAAATGTTCATGTTATTAATGACACTCTGGTCTTTTGCAGCTTTCGGGAAGTATGTGTTTCTGAGAGTAGCAAAGACTTGTTAAACTACCAGCATTTAACGCTTGCTGTGGCGGGCCAGATGTGACCCACAGCTGGGAGTTTGACACCTGACTGAATGGGATGTTCAGGCTTGCAAGGAGCTGGGGTCTATCCCGGGTGACTTTGGGTAAAAGGCAGACTTCACCCTGGACTGCTCACAAGGCATTCGCAGATCACGTCTACCCTTAGAAACAGCCATTCACACGGCAGTGATGAAAGTCCTCCGGATTTTCCCGGAATTCCGGATTTTCAAATTTTCATGAAAATTTCTCCAGAAAATTGAGGAAAAATTGCCTAAAATTAATCCGGATATTAGTTGACGACATTGAACAAACACGCGTTTGAATTCGTTGTTTTGCTTTCACGAGCGTAGCCATGTCGAGGCACTAACACTAGTAACAGTAAAGAGATTTTCGTCTCTTTATAAACACACCAGCAGAACGAATAAAAGACGCCGTGGACGAGACAGTTGTTGTCGTAAAAAATATATTTGGACAAAAAGGGAAACACAAATTGGCAGAAAATCGTGTCCGTCCGAATTCGAGCGTCGTGTCGTCTCGGCTAGCTTAGCTCAGCTGTTGTCGTATGTCGTGTGTGACATCGGTTGCACAGCAGAAAGTAGCGGACTATCGACTGCTGAGGCGCGCTTTGCTCGAGTGGCGTCGCCACAACAGTAACACCCCCGCCTCGCATTCTCATGGCCTCGCCATATCTCGGAGATTTCGAAATTTCGGCGAGAACGGAAGCCACAAAGGGTGCACGTGTGCACACAAAAGGAAGATTAATCATTGAATGTCGAATATTTGAATAGCGTTTTGTGTAAACTAATTCATGCGTGATCGGCCAAGTGTGTTTTTTTTTCCCCCGGAATTTTCAGGGAAGTCCACTTTCATCTCTGACACGGTCGCTGAGCATTAGCTAAATCTGTGCTGCCTGCCCTGATGATTTCCGAGAATTTGGTAGATTTCCGAACCGCACAATCCTTTGGGGCGTTCAAATTTCACGACGCTATATAAAGCAAAACTGAGCAGCAGCATCTTGTCAAGAGTGCATTTTTTGTGACAGCTCTCGCTGACTACAGTGTGGTAGTATACTCGGGTCCAGTAAGTTTCCAGCTATCATTTTCACACTCAGTAGATTTTGCCTCTTATTACCTCAATCTGACATCCCATGGTAATAATTTGATGGTGTTTCCCGTGGAGCATGCCAGTTAGAGCGGCGGTGTGTTTGCTGTGAAATCTCCAGCAGAGTTGGTTTGATTTCATCGTCTGGCCTTGGCCTCTTTGAAAAGAAACTCATCTCCTTTTCAGTCACTCTTGCTGCTTTATCCACTAACTCTTTTCCCTTTTGTGTCGTTTCCTCCTTTGCAAAAGTAATAGAACATCGGTTTTCCTTTCAACCCCTGCTTGTATAGAAGCCAGATTGCTTTGTGTATCGCCATCGAAATAGAGAAGAGAGCATCACATTCCGCTTGTGTTCACGAGGCACAGAGCATCGGGACTCTCGAACATGTGTTGAAAGAGACGTTGTGCCTTCGTGCTATAAATTTGGCTCGAAAATCCTCCCGTCAATGCCAACGGAGCCTGCATTAACATCAAGACGGTGTCTGCTATTGCTGTGAGAGCTCAATAACAGAAGAAAAACACACACAAAATACATGTAATGAAATTCAGCTGCTGAAAACTGGCTTCCTGAATCTCATTAAAGGAGCTTTGTGCAGTTTCCCCATCTTTTCTTTGCGGGAGAGTTTCTGGGTTTCCCCCTAATATCGGGGCAGATTTCATCCTCCTCCTGATTTAAAAAGGACAATGTCTTGTTCCTTTCCAAGCCCGAGCCCACTCACCACAAAGATGTGCTCCGCGGGGCTGACTCACTGTAACGATCTACCTTGTTGTGCATTTCCCCTGAAGTTGTGACTAACTTCCTGTCCCCCTTTTCTCCCTCCCTACCATCTGCTTCTCTCTGCACAGGGTTCGGTTTCATAACTTTTGAGAGTGAAGACATCGTTGAGAAAGTCTGTGAAATTCATTTTCATGAAATCAATAATAAAATGGTAAGTCCACTCTTTTTTTTTTTCCAAGTCCAGTTGGGCATTGAGGGATTAATATTTGATTTGTTCCTTTTTTATTACCCAACTATTAATAGCAGTGTGTTTGTGTGTGTGTGTGTGTGTGTGTGTGTGTGTGTGTGTGTGTGTGTGTGTGTGTGTGTGTGTGTGTGTGTGTGTGTGTGTGTGTGTGTGAGAGAGACTGGCTCACTTGCACGCACCCCCTGTGGTTCTGTGGGTTTCGGGGATGGGAAAGTAGTGGTGTGTACTGGCCACAAAGCGTGAAATTGTGTGACTGAGTTGTGCCTGTCAGGCTGAGAGACAGGAGACTGGAGCCTGTCCCTCTTCCGGAATCCCAAACACACACACACACACATTCACAGGGACACACAAACGTGAAGATGTCCAGGGATGGTGCTAGCAGAGACTGAGTTCATTAGTTGGGGATTAACGCCTTCCGCAGGCTCCTGTGGCGCTTGTTTTATTTACACTTGGAGCTTGGTCATCTCACAGCACTCAAAGCACACTTGTCCTGTCGTTAAATGATGATTTTAGAGTAAGCAATCCTCTGCATCATGGCTCTGAGTGCCCCTCCACCACAGTCGAGAACAATCCGTCCCAGGACGTTGGCGCAATTGTTTCCTTAGCGCGTTAATTGTATTAACCAGTTCGAGGCTCATGTCACAAATATAAAACTTTTATTCACTGTGTCAAACGAGTGTTGTCAAAAGAAAAAACTCAGAAAAGAAATGGATAATGCCAGACTGAAGCTTGGGCTTGAATTATTCCCAATCCACTATATAATGTCCTACATAGTGAGCTAGTCGGCCATTTTGTAGTGTTGTCCCAATGTTTGGTGAATATAGGTTATCCCTTTATATTGCGCTCAGTGTATCCGACATGTCATTCTGGAAAAGTCGGGAACAACCGACGGTCCCTAGAAAACCCCCATTTGCAGGTATTGTTTGATTTTCATCATGCAGCCTGTACTACCGCAGACAAATTCCTTGTGTGTTCCACATACGTGGCCAATAAAGATGATTCTGATTCTGATGAGACAAATTTATGAATTGTGGTAAGAAAATAACTTTAATATTGGTGGAGCAACACATCTCAACATGAATGGACATTGATCTTTATAAACTGTTTCAGTTCAACAGTGTTCAGATGTTGAGACATTCTTGTGTAGTATTTAACTTTTGTAGAATTGTCCTCAGAGATGTTACCGAACCGACTGCATTCACAGACACTCAGCTGACCGCCTGACAACACAAGTGGACTTGGTATGCTGAGACCTTGATTCTTAAATTGCCACGCTAGGACTCCCCCCCCCTCCCCCCCCACCTTCTTATGCATTCTGAGCTATCCTCTTGCATCATGTCTACAGGACGGCCGCTCCCCAGAAGAGCAACCGCGATACTTAACCATTATCCATTTGTCGACAATCTGTCTTACCGTGGACTGACGTACAGGTACATTAAGGCTTTCAGAGATAATTTTGTGACCTTTTCCAGTTTCATGCACCTTAACAATTCTTAATTTTAGGACTTCTGACAGCTCTTTATTGTGAATCATAGTTCACATCAGGCAACGTTTCTTTCAAATAGATTCATAAATGGTGTTTTTTTTTTTTTTTTTTTTTTTTTTTAGGACAGGGCAAATTTCACCAGCACCCCCAATCTCGTCTTATTTATTATTACTGGTTCTGTGTTCATCATTTGTGGAGTTTGTTCTTGACAGATTCATTGAACTGCCATTGCTCAAGTTTCTGCCCAGCATATTTTTCCTGAAAATTTTGTGTTGAAGAATAAATTGTCAGACTTTTGTGGGTGCAATATCTTTGAGCAGCTGTGTGGATTGTGATTGACTGAAGGGAATACTTACTGCCTTTCATTGTGGCTTTTCTCAAAGTGTCCCTCCCCTTTTCCATTTCCCTCCCTGGCCTTTTCCACAACTTGACAGACTGAGTGGCTGTCTGACGGACAGGACCAGTGTAGTAGAACCTTGTTCACCAGGGACCAGTCCGGGTCACACATGACCCCGGTGTTCACCCCTCTATGCTTCAGTGCTGCATCCCATTCTGTTTTCAGGCGGATATCTAAAGTGTTTTTGAAATTATTGTATAAAAGATAGTCTGTCACATCCTGTGACATTTAGTTGGAGCACACTGTTGACATTTTTATACCTCTACACTCAAGGCTTGAATATAAATGCCCAAGATTTTTTTTTTTTTTATCTACCCTAAGATAATAAGCAAAGGGTTTGCCATTTGTCCCCTACCTGTGCGTAGTGCAATATACAGGATGAGAATTTTTATAGCCATTGTTTACAAACTAATATGTATGCGCTACAGCCATTCTAAAGCCTAATGATAGTCCAAATCGCTGTCTGTTTCTGAGGAGAAATATGAATGTGACAATGACAATTATACTGTATTAATAATGGGTAATTAGCCATAAAAAATGCATAAGGTCCATTTTCCTTTGCATTTTGCCGCAACAACTAATGAGAAAAGGCTTTGGAAGAAAAAAAAAAATGTTGCTCATGCATGCGTCAAATGCGTGAACAATACCCACAACCAAACACATTGCTGTTTCATTGTAGGATAACATAAAGGAAAGGATTCTTTTTTTTTTTTTTTTTTTTTTACAGAACCAATATGATACAAAAGAGAGTGCGAGCATTCCAATTAAAGCTAAAACCGCGTCTCTCTCTCTAAAAGTTGTGGTTCATATATATTAGCTCACGCCTGCCCAGACTTACATGGCCACTGTTGGTCTATGATGCGATGCACCTTGACATGTTCTTTACACGTCACCTCCATTCAGCCTCGTAGGGAATGATTGCATAAAGCTGTGAAGAACGACATCCTTGAATCCTTGTGAGTCTTGCGTGAATCCCAGTAAGATCAGAGTATTTGGGCTCGGGGCATGTGTTCGAGAACCGCCCCCGGCCCGGGCTTTAGGCCTTTTCGGAGGCTTTTGTCACCTTTACAAGAGGTCCTCCTGATAACACCTAAGATAAATGTCCTCTCGTGTGCAGGAAATAAGCGAGGCCCTCACATCTACAAAGTGCTGACATGTGGAAATGTGTGCAAAAAGGAAAGGATGTGGAGAGTGTTGAGAGCATTTTTCAAAGGACCCTTCAGTGTTGCCTTGGTTGCAAAGAGTCGCGGCGGAGACTGCTGGTTATTCTCTTTCTTGAAGCACCGGCACATAAAGTAAAAAATGCTTCCTGTCTTCATCTTTATGAAGTACTGTACAGAAATAGACCTCATCCATCCTCCCTGTGAGTGTTATCTAAGATGGTCCTTGAATAATTGATGCCGACAGAAATTCACCCAAGTCGTGAGGGCGATGCATGTGTAGGGCAGCCCACCCTTCTCCTTCCGTGTCCTCTGGTGGGCCGCGGAAGTGCAGGAGGTCAACGCTGGCTCGGATATGAATGAGTGACCCTTTAGTGTGGCGGTCAAACACCCCGTATCACTTTTGTTTGCATGTACCACCCAAGCGGTACTCTCAGGAGCGCTTCCCCTTCTGTCACTGTGGTGTCCTTATTAATCATTAAAATTAGGGCGCCGCTCAGCAAGACACTCCCAACCTTTTCTCTGTGCCGTACCGACGTCCACTTCAGTCTTACCTCTGTGGACCAAATATGCGTCATCTGTTGGTCTTCTGGTGGGATGTAGCCACTCAAGCTGTTTTCTTTTAAGGTATCGCTTCAGTTTGTGTATGTGACGTATTATCATCAAAAGGCCTTTAAGGGGAAATTGGAGTGGTTACAACATCCTCAACAGCACATCGACCGTGATGAAAAATCAGTGTTCGATTAAAATGGACTCAAGTTGGTGTTCGCCAAGAGGCCCTTTTTTTTCTTAATGCACAAGCTGACAACAGGAGGGAGGAATTTTGTCTTTGTCCTCAGTTTCTCACTCTGGCTTCCCGATACGACCACCCAATTACTGCTCTGAGGAGGAGAACGAGATGATACATCTCGAAGGGTTTATCCTAATAAATATGGACTTAACTTACAAATAATCTTTGACTGCTCCGCTTATCGTGGAAATTAAGATATATTTAGATTAGGTGGTTTGGGAAATACAGTACTCGATTCACAGAAATGATGAGGTTTAGACCTTTTGCAACTTTGCTTTAAAATTTCCCAAAAATAATTAAAAAAAAAAAAAAAAGAAAGAAAGGTAGCTTTCAGTTACCTTCAGTAATATTATCAGTAATATCGTGCCCCTGTAGAATCGTACAATAACTCGGGAGATACAGAAGTAATTCTGTTTTATTGATTTCTTTTGCAATCATAACTTCAGAGCATGTTTTTTTGTCAAACCTTTTAAATACTCGGAAGGGTTTTTTTTTCTTATTAATCTCCCCAGCCAAAATATGACATATTACAAGGACTGAAAGACTATGAACTGAAAGATATAGATTTAGTCATGCTCGTGATATAATGGAACTTTAAAGCTGCTATTGTCTAGTCACGTATTGATTCAATAAACCAGGCCAAAATATATAAATCAATAACAGTTTCATCATATTTGTTTAGTTTTAAAAGAGAAAAGCCACTCATACATGTAAAATGTCGTAAAGTGACAATGTCCTACGTTTTATAGCGACGACAATATTTTGCATCGACCTGGCCACAAGACAATCACCATGCGAGCATATCCACATGAATAATGTTGTCTCGATGTTCCACCAAAGGCCAAATGTATAACAGCAAAATACAATTTGAAGTTTTGATCCGCCGCTTGGCTGCCGTTTGTCATAGCTTTGATAATCCAAAAAAAAGCATTACCGATCAGAAGCCGTACAGTTTTTTTTTTTTTTTTTTTGTAACGCCGCTAAAGCAATCCTAAACCCACTTGTTTGCCTTAGCAAACGTAATAGCTTTTAATTAGTCGCATCTTCGGAATTCTCAATTGCCAGCTGGACTGGTTGTGCGTTTGCTTGTGAACCCTGCAAACCAATCAGTCACGCTGCCACTGAACATTA